ACTATTACGTACGACCACCACATTTGATCAAAAAACAAAATTCAATAACTTGGCGTAATATTATGAAAGGATGGTCCTACTGTTGTCTAGGGTATAAATGGAATCTAACCACGGAAAATCATGTAAAATTCTGGAATGATCCTTGGATTAGTCAGAATTATTTAATTCGTAATTGTATATATGAACCCCTTCAACAATATGAGGACAAAAAAATTATTTCACACTACTATTACAATCACAAATGACACTTTAACATGTTACCTTTTTGTTTACCTCCTAACTTACAAACTGCAATCACTGATATTTATATGCCATTTGCATCCTCAACATATGATAAAATATTTTGGGCTCTCACACATAATGGCATTTTTCAGTCAAATCAATGTACACTGCTATCATAAATAACACATCTCCTACAACAACTGCTCCACTCTATGCTTTTAAATGGATTTGGCAATTGCATATTCCTCCAAAAATTTCTTTCTTCTTATGGTTAATTTGTCATGATCGACTTCCAACAACTGCACTCACAAGAATAGGTATTCTTAATTCCTCTATATGTCCACAGTGCCATATGGCCCCTGAAACATTACAGCATCTCTTCTTAGAATGTCCGACTACCATACAATTATGGACTATGCTTAAGATGTCAACTATCAATGAAAATTTCCCTCTATCCCACAATGCTACTATAAATTGGTTATACCAATTTATACATCAACAGTCAATATTCAAACATCATACAATTCCAAATACCACCCTCATACCCTTTGCATTATGGGAGCTTTGGATTATACGTAATAAAAATACACTAGATCATAAGAAAACCTTTTTGAATATATCTTTCATATTAAAAAAGGCTGCAGAATTTTATTACCTCACAAATCCAATATCAAAAAATTATACTCTCATACCTTTATATATAAAATGGCACCCCCCCAAACAATCCCTTTTACAAGCTTAACATTGAGGGTTCTTGCTCAATCCAACAGAATAACTATGGTATTGGTGGTATTTTTCGTAATCATCTAGGCAATTGGATCATAGGATTTGCAGAAACAACACTACATGGGGCACCTCTCTAGACAAAACTTCTAGCTTTGCTCATGGGATTGAAACTTGCTGTCCATAAGAACCTCAAATCACTCATCATTGAGACAGATGCACAAGCCCTACTCGGTATGTTTAATAGCACTACAATGCAATACACTAATATAATTAATGATTGTAGGTTATTACTACTACAGCTGGATAGTCCCCCTCTCCAAACCATCTATAAGGAGTAAATTTGTGTGGCAGATTGTCAGGCCAACTATGGAGCTTTGCATGCAAAGGAAACCTGTATCATTTTTGAAAGTCCACCACTTTTTGCTTCCACTTTACATCAACAAGATCAAGGAGGGATGCTTAGAAAAAGGTTGATTAAAAAACAGTCTGTTTTGTGTAATAATAGGTCTTCCACTAGTACTGTACTAAGTAACTATAGTAATGTTTTAGCTAGTTCAAGTTTAGTTCGTAGTAATGGTTCCTATACGGGGGCCTTAAAAACAATCACTACTAATGTAAATCTGATGCCACTCATGCATCTTGTAAACAGCTCTCTTGTACNATATATATATATATATAATATAACTATCTTTTTGACCAAAAAAATAATAATTAGAGAAGAAATATTTGGAGGGAATTTAAATTTTTTTAAAGTTTTGTAAATGTAAGACCATTCTAATTTATCAAAAGCCTTCTCCAAATCAATCTTAAGGATTAAGCTAGGCCTGCCCATTGATGAATTGATCTTCTTCATGACTTCTTGGATAACGATAGCATTATCACTAGCCCAACTATATTTTAAAAAGCTAGATTGTTGTTGGTTGATAAGTTGGTGTAGGAAGGGCTTGATTCGATTGGCAATGATTTTTGTTATAACTTTATAGATGGTGTTACATAGGCTTATAGGCCAAAAGTTCTTAGAAATTGTTTGTATTATTGAATTTGGGGATGAGGCATAGGTAAGTGTTATTAATGTCCGGTGGCATTGTTTTTGTTTGAAATTTTTTTGGCACAAATTTATGACCTTGCATATAATGTGCCAATATTTTTGGAAGAAAAAGGAGTGCAACCCGTCCGGGCCTGGAGCTTTGTATGGTTTAAATGAGAAGACTTTCCTTATTTCATGATTTCTTAAGGGATCATCAAGGCTTGAGAGGTCAATATTACGAAAGCTTTTCTTGTCACTTTTGATAATCGACCAATCAGTTTTTACATGGGAGGTTGTGAAAATGTTTAAGAAATAATTCCTTGTATGGTTCATTAGAGAAATTTAGTCATCTATCCAATTCCCATTATTATCTTTGAAGAAAACAATGTTGCTTTTCCTCCTTCTGTTGGTTGCCTTAATATGAAAAAAATTTATATTTGTATCGCCATTATTTAGCCAAGTTAAATACAATTACATAGACTATAAATCAAGATGAGTAATAAAAATATAAAATAAAGACCGTACACTAATAAAATTGCACAAGTATCAAATATAAAATCATTTTGGTTCTTACTCTACATATTGGCAAGACGAATTATAAGAAGCAACGCCAACTATTATTAATACAAAATCATTTTGGAATCCTCTATAACAGTCTATGAAAATACTTTTCTTATTTTTCCTCAAAAAAAAACAAAAATTGTAAACTAGCACCATAATGATCATATATGAAGTATTCCAAAATTATAAACACGTCAAACTGTCATTCAAGATAGATAAATCTATTCAGAAATAATAATTAGAACTTACAAAAGAGGAACCTAAATGCAAGTGAACCGATGTTTCTTTCTTTTGTTATTACAATATAATAAGAGCTAAAGAGATGGAGGAAGGAAGCGAAAAGGAATGATACTTATAAAATCTAGTTGAACAAAACTGTAAAACTTTTCTACCAAAAATATTTTATTGGATTTCTTTCTTAAGTAATCAATTCCATTTTTCTTCAAGTTTTGATTTCCTATTACAATAACAACCACCACCCAATATAATCCCAGAAGTGGGGTCTGGGGATGATAGGATATACGCAGCCTTACCCCTACCTTGGATGGGCAGAGAGACTATTTATGATAGACCCCCGGCTAAAGAAGGTGAAAGAAGCCCTGATATCAAGTAATAGCAAGGCAAATAATTAAAAAACTAAATCAAAAGTAGCAACAGAGAATATGAAAGGGGTATCGATAGCAAGTAATAGCAAGTTAATATGTTTAGAAAACTAAATCCAAGGCAACAAACGAGAATATGAACGAAGTACTGCTAGCAAACTACGGAATTACCGATGGCAAGTAATAACGAAACAAAACATGCGAATATAGCAAACTAAGAAAAAAAGGGATACCGTACTAGTACTAATACTATCGAACTGAGAAGACAAAGGGAAACACATGACTACCTACTAACCTTTTATCCTAATCTTCAACCTCCACACTTTTCTATCTAGGGTCATGTCCTCGGTTAGCTCAAGCTGCGCCATCTCCCGCCTGATCACCTCTCCCCAAGACTTCTTTGTCCTACCTCTATCCCTCCTCCCACCTCCCAAGGCCAACCTCTCACATCTCCTGATTGGGGCATCTGTGCTTCTCCTCTTAACATGCCCGAACCATCTCAACCTTGCTTTACGCATCTTTGCCTCCATAAGAGCTACTCCCACCTTGTCCCGAATAATTTCATTCCTAATTCTATCCAACCTATTATGCCCACACATCCATCTCAATATCCTCGTTTCCGCTACTTTCATCTGCTGGATATGAGAGTTTTTGACTGGCCAATACTCTGCCCCATACAACATAGTCAATCTAACCACTACCTTGTAGAACTTACCCTTAGGTCTCAACAACATATTCTTATCACACAAGACATCGGAAGCGAGCCTCCACTTCATCCACTCTGCTCTGATACGGTGTGTGAAATCCTCATCTATCTCCCAATCCTTCTGAATTATAGATCTCAGATACTTGAAACTCTCTCTCCTGGGAATGACTTGCGTATCGAGTCTCACATTCCCGTCTGCCTCCTGGGTAACACTGCTGAACTTGCACTCCAAGTATTCTGTCTTGGTCCTACTCAACTTGAAACCCTTAGACTCCAGAGTATGTCTCCAGACCTCCAACCTCTCGTTAACGCCACATCGCGTCTCATCAATCAGGACTATGTCATATGCAAATAACAAGTACCAAGGCACCTCCCCTTGAATGTGACGCGTCAAAGAATCCATCGCCAAGAAAAACAAAAACGGGATAAGTGCTGATCCCTGATGCAACCCCATCTCAACCGGAAAGTAGTCAGAGTCTCCTTCTGTTGTCCTAACCCGTGTCTTAGCTCTATCATACAAGTCCTGAATCACTCTAATATACGCTACATGCACTCCTCTAGCTTCCAAATATCTCCATAGAACCTCTCTTGGGACTTTGTCATAGGCTTTCTCCAGGCCAATGCACACCATATGCAAATCCTTATTCACCACCCTATACTGCTCCACCAACCTTTTCACAATGTGAATGGCCTCAGTAGTCGACCGTTCCGGCATGAAACCAAATTGGTTCTCGGAAATAGACACACACCTCCTCAACCTTCCTTCAATCATCATCTCCCACACTTTCATCGTATGGCTTAACAACTTGATACCCTTATAGTTAGTGTAGTTTTGGACATCCCCCTTGTTCCTGTACATCGGGATTATCGTACTCCTCCTCCAGTCTTCGGGAATCTTCTTTGTCCTAAAAATGACGTTAAACAACCTAGCAATCCATTCCAATCCCTCCTTACTCACGCTCTTCCATAATTCCACCGGAATCTCGTTCGGTCCAATCGCTCTACCTCTGCTCATCCTGCGCATTGCCCTTATAACCTCCCCCACTCGTATGTGTCTACAGTATCCAAAATCTCGTTGCCGCTCCGAGTACTCTAACTCCTCCAGCATAATGCCCCTATATCCCTTTTCATTCAAGAGTTTTTAGAAGTAAGATTGTCATCTCTGCCTAATCTGTGCCCACTCCAATAAAACTTTTCCCTCCTCATCTTTTATGCATCTCACTTGGTCCAGATCCCGGGCCTTCCGCTCCCTCACCTTCGCTAGCCTGTACAACTTCTTATCCCCGCCTTTATCCCCAATTTCTTTGTATAAACGACTAAACACTGCGGTCTTAACCGTAATAACCGCCAACTTCGCCTCCTTCCTAGCCTTCTCATACCCCTCCCTGTTGGTACTCTTCTGCCTCTCGTCTATACTTTCTACTAGCTTCAAATTTGCTGCTTTCTTGGCTTCCACTTTCCTCTGAACCTCTTCGTTCCACCACCAACCCCCTTTATGGCCACCAGAAAAACCCTTTGAGACCGCTAACACCTCTCTCGCCGCCTCTCTAATACAATTTGCTGTTATAGACCATATACAACTCGCGTCCCCGCTACTCCTCTAGGTTCCCATAGCCAACAACTTCTCCCCCAACTCCTGGACCTTGTCCTTAGTCAATGCACCACACCTAACCCTAGGTATAGCCCTCTTCTTCCTCGTCCACTTGATCTCTAAGTCCATAATCAAAAGCATATGCTGGGTCGTAAGATTCTCACTCGGGATGACCTTGCAATCCGTGCATAAACCTCTATCACATTTTCGGAGAAGTAGATAATCAATCTGGGTCTTGTCCACCGTACTCCGAAAAGTTATCATCGCCTTCTTCGGGTAACACGAGTTAGCGATCACCAGCTCAAAAGCTTTAACGTACTCCAGCAGCGAAGTACCTCCTCCATTTCTATCTCCAAAATCGAAGCCACCATGCACACCGTCATATCACCCGGGCGACCTCCCAATGTGGCCGTTAAAATCACCCCATATGCTTCTCGGTGGACGACATACCCCGCACCAACCCATCCAAATCTTCCTAGAAGCGTCTTTTAACCTCCTCGCCCAAACCCACCTGAGGCGCGTAAACACTAATTATGTTCAGAGTATACCCTCCCACGACTATCTTAATGGCCATCAACCTGCCATTCATCCTCTTAACCTCAACGAAAAGCTCCCTTAGATCTTTATCAACTAAAATGCCTACCCGTTCTTCCCTCTCACCCTCCCTAAATAGCACAACTTAAACCCATCAGCCTCCCGAACCCTGTTCCCCACCCATCTAGTCTCCTGGGCACAAGCTATGTTAATCTTCCTCTTATGGAGAATCTTTGCTAACTCTCCAGACTTCCCTTTAAGAGTCCCTATGTTCCATGACCCCACTCTCAACCTAGAAGGTGCCTTAGCCCCCCTTGCCACCCTTACCATCTACCCCCGCTCCTCTGAGGACATGCCCTCACTCTATCATAGCTCAGCGCGACCACTAGATCAGCACAAAGCAAAAAGAATAGACTCAAGTTTTTATTTCCTATTAAGGAATCATTTTTTTTAATTTTTACTATTTTATTAATTGTGTGTGTAATTTTAGTAAACTTTGTACGTATTAATAGGGTTACAGACACGAATCGTATGCCGAGAAACTAGTTAATTTAGAAGTAGAGCCATCTTGCAAAAAATACATTCAGCGACAAACATCTAAGATATAATTATCTTGAACCATGAAGAATAGAAAGAAGAAAAAGCAAAAAGAAATTTGAAATCATCTAACGAAAAGTATATTTTCAACATATCTTTGTAATACAATCAAACATAAAATTACTTTGGGATACATGAATCATAAGTTAAAAAGACTATTCATTATAAATAAACAATTTGGATCACTCTTCTCCGTAGGATCCATAACATGAAATCTACAACTTAGTGCTTTCCATGACTTTCTTGATGTTTTTTATGTTCAAGGTGACGAAGTTCTTCAGGGAGCGCGACCAAATAAGAGAAGGCCATACCACCAAAACAAACATGATAAACGGGTTCAACTGAACTCGTTATAATGTATCTCGAATGATAATTGTCTAAGCCTTTGGCTATAAATCTTCTCACATACGAGATCATTATGACTTTGTAATCTTCAAATAGGAATTTAGAAGCAAAAAAGGATGAGGGTCTTGTAACAAATCGCAAAAGGAAGACAAAGCAGAAGTTTTAAGAATGGAGTTGGGAAAGATTTTAAAATGGAAAAAAAAAACATAAGAACTTGGGTTGTTATATACTGTGCCTTTTAACTAACGACGTGTGCCATTGTGANGGGAGGGAAGATTGATTTCGTAGTTGGAAACTTTATTAAGTTGTGAAATATGCGATCAAATTAAAGGAACCATAATTGTTCAAAATGGATAAATTTTCGGATTATGAATGACGTTTACGAGCACTTATAATTCGGATACATCTTTAACGAAAATTGAATTCTCGCAAATAAAATTGTCATTGTTGAACTTGTCCAAATTTCTGATGATGGAAATATGGATACTTTTCAAAATATCATACATAGTTTCTTAAGTTCTGGGCTTGATAAATGGTCTTATCATGTTAAATAACAGACAATTGTAAAAGGTAAGAGTATTTGAAAATTTAAGAGATTACTTAAAGTTCAATTAACTACAATTCAATCTCAGATCAGTTGTGATTGGCGTCAATTTCCAACACTAAATAATAGCCATTTTAACATAACTTATTCTCTAAATTTAATTTTTTTTCTAAATCCCGCACTTAATGTTACAAGCATTTTGGTACGAGGAAATGTGAAATGAAGTGGGTAGTAGAGAAAGAGAACAGTAGTAGTGGTATTACAAAATTACCATTACTCCTCCGTTTTGAGTAAGTTGAGGTGGATCATATGAATCTTTACTGATTATGTCTTTCATTAAAGCCCGTTAAGCATGTCTCAAAGCTGAAAACAACTCCAGTTGCATAGCTCAAAGCTGCCTATGGATTAAACAAGTAAATCTGTCAGTCCACTGCAGATGCAGGTTTATACTAACCTGGGACCTCTTTCATAAGGTAGACAAGATAAATAACCCAGCGAAAAAGGAATAACAAAACAAAACCAATTTCTTTTTAGTCAATAAAGCAGTGAAAATGTAAAGAAATTTCCAATAGGAACAAAAACTGGGCATCAATGGTGACTGCAGTTGTTGTGAGATGTTCTACTAAGTTGATAGGGTGGTTTATTATAAGAAGAGACTGTAAAAGAGAGTATGAAACTCGGAGGCTCACTCTCTCCATTATAAGCTTTCCCAATTGCAGTAAATAAATCACATATTGGTTGACTCGTTTATTTGCAGAAAATGTCCGAAACCAATACAGAGAATCGAAATAAGTTGAAGTCTCCGTACACTGCTGGCAGAACACCTTTTGCTTTAATTCGCGAGGTTTGATGTTTTATCTTTCTTATTTTTTTAAATTATGAACTTGCTAACTTTATATGGAAAGATTCTTATACTTGTTTTCATGTAACTAGGCAAAAAAGAAGGAAATCTCTGATACTTCAGATACTATATCAAGTAAGGACATCTTTGCGGCTACAAGAAAAGAAAACTTGGCCGAGTATACAAAAGCTCATATGACAATACGATTAGTAAAATTGTACGAAATTTCTAATTTAAAGTTTGTCGTGCTTATTTATTTGTTCTTAATTATTGATTCAACTTTAGTTACTTAAAACTCTTTTTTCTCGCATTTTTGGTTTGTAGGCTGAAATGGAGAGAATACAATCAAATCAGAAAAGTGAAGATGACCGTCATTTAGATGACGCTTTTGCACCAGTCATGGGACCTGAACATCCAGGTCGCGTGAGATTGTATGGACGAAGGGTTACCAAGACTGTGTTAAAGGGGCAAAAAGGGAATCTTGGATCTTCTGATGAGAGGATGCATCAGAAAATGGAGGAAATGGAAGAGAGGACGCAACAAGGAATGCATGAAAATTTGAACGAACAAAAGGATGCCATGGAACAAAATATTACAATGAATGTCATCGCACGACTTCAGCGTCTGAACCCAGATTTGCGACTTGATCCTGACATGTTAAGGTTCAGTGCACGTTCACTTGTAGAAGTTTCCTCTGCACAATAAGTTGTTGTTCAACTAAACAGTCGACCATCTGCTGGTAGTAACAATCAAGGTCAGTACGTACCAAATGTTATACATCTTCTTCTATTTCTTCTTCTTCTTCTCCTCTTTCCTTGCTTGGGATTTTGCTTTGGTTCAAGGCAGAGGGGATATGGTAAAGTGTTTAGCATAATCCTCTAAGTAAGAAATGAACTGTTTTTTTGAAGGGTATTTAGGAAATTTTTTACGAAAACCAAATAATGGGAGTTGACAACAATTTGTCAAATTTTTAGGAAAACCAAGTAATAGTACCAGGATTTCTTGAAAATGATGTTGTGTGTTGACTTTGATGAAGATTCTCAAAATTGTATCCTGCATATTCTTCAGTGAGTTCCCTGCCTCTTTACACTTTCTTTTCTGCCTGCATAAAGCATGGAAAAAGAAATAGCATAAGCATAATATCATAGAAATGATACAATATTTCAACAGTGCAATTGGAAAAAAATGCCAAGGGATAATGTTCACCATTAATATACGCAAATCATTAAGTCTTTACGAATTGACTGTGCAGAAGTAAGTAACTAATACTAGCTAGTTCCAATTTTAAATATATTGAGTTATTAGTTTTAAGAATACTTTAATTCAAATTTCTTTATGCATCCAAGGACATTTGTATGATTATTAAGTTGTTATTACTGAAATGTGGTGAAAGAACTGTTGATAAATGTTGTTTATTGATCATTTTCACCGTTTAGTTAAATCGACATTAGCTTGCTTAACAATATATTTGTTGTTTCTAAATTGTTGTCAAATTTCAGTACTTTGAAAATGATTCATTATTGTCAAATAAGAATGTTGTTGGCTATCAGGTACCACAACTACTTAGCTTAACCTAGTGGTTTAAACTAGTTCCATGTAGGAAGTTTTGAAGTATCAGTTTTAGAAATACTCATGTCTCTAGAAACTGCGAGCTTCTTGTTCTTTCCTTACTTTCTTCAACCGTGATATGAGAACGAGTAAGTAAAGACTCTAGCACTACCTGTATGGTATGATATGGAGAAACATATGGTAGCGGCCTTCATCCTTGTGAAGGAAATGTAGATTTTGTTACCACATATCTTAGGGTAGAAATATTCTACCCTCTTTTTTCTTTATGTGAGAAGAATTTGGAGCAATTGTCATCTAATGAGCTGAAGCAACTATTAGTGTCTTTTCCTTGATAAATGTGGTGTGTATTTTCTTTTTTTCTCACTGGAGCTATTTTTCTTCTTCCTCACTGGTGATTGAAACTGCTAAACCAGAGGTCCAGCACCTACTATTATAGGTCCATTAACCCATAACCATTTTGGTTGTTGATCATTTTTTTCTTCTTCTTTACAAGAACCTATGTTGAGCAAAAAGAATATAGCAAAAGAAAAAGAGAAGGCACTTTTCAGTGGTTAATCCTCCATTGAAAAGAACTTGATCAGATTGGAGTAGATCTTTCTTCTGCATTAGGTTCTTGAAATAATTGTTGTCAAGCTTTTTGTCTGTGACCAAATCGAGTGGGGCCAAACTTCCATTCCCTCCATTTTTAGGACATTGCAATGTCCCTCTATATCGGATGTATTGTATATTCTGTTCCGAAATGAAGAGCAATGTGATTGGCCAATGGTGTGTGCCCCTACAAATAATCGAGTTTGATTTACAGCAAGTAATGAGAATGTTATTTGGAAAATGAAATAAGTTGACGATGATGAATATATATATTCCAACCCATTTTGAGCAAAAAGAATATGGCAAAAGAAAAGGAGAAGGCACTTTTCTGCTTTAGCCTTTTGAAAAAGAGTGTAATAACTGAGAGTTTTCTTTGTTTTTTGCACTCTGTAATAGTAGCTAGCTCTCTGTTCTTTTTTTTTTCATGGCAATTTGTACTATGAGTATTCTTAGACCGTATTCTCTTGAAGGACAATAACTTTATTTATCCTCTTTTGTAGGTGGAGTAGATCAAAAAATGGATGATGAAGACGATGAAGAACTAGACTTTACTTGAGATAATTTTGAATTGTTATAGATGAATGTTCTAGGAATCTTTTGTGACCAACATTTTTTGAAACTTATTTACCCTCTTGAAATGTACTAAACTTATGCACTCACATGGTAGAACATTTGCCTTATGAATATTATTATTTGCTTGATGGATAATTTTATATTATTAATAGTTTCATTTTATGATGTATTTAAATTTTAGTGTTATTATAATTTATTATATGTATAAATTTTATTTATAACATGTGCTATATTTTGGTTTTAATTGAACTGATACAATAACCTACCAGAACC